GTGGAAGTGGATGCTTTGTTGTACTGTTCCACATGGGTTTGCGACATTCCACGTGAAGCGAGATCCGCACCACACCTCGGACGTAGTGTGGGTAGGGTTATATTTTAACGAGGTGGAGCCCCCGTAGGGGGGGGCGGAACGTACTGCCTCCATGCATATACTTCCATGACGACAGATGGAGATGGGAGGAGAGATATAAGATTTAGAGTCCATCATTTTTTTCGAAAACTATTACTCGCACAGTAAAAATAAATAGGACATAAAATGTATATTTTAAAGAGATCTACAACTTTTGTTTAAAACATTTTTCAAAATTTTTAATATTTGTGTCTGAAAATTACATATAATTGGTCGACATTGTTTTTTTAATAACTTTTTAACAAACAACGAGCGACGGCTAAAACCTTCTGATTGTGAGCGTTACTCAGGAGGGTAACCTTGACAACATATGTCAAGGTCAAGGTCATCGGAGCTGACTCCCCTATAATGAATATTTACCGAAAACAGTTGTCTTTTAGCCGAACTTATCGAAAAATTATGTTTATAGCACTCCTCTGAGATCGCGGAAAACGCGGCACCCGAATCAACTTCCATTCTTAACGGTATACCGTTGACTCTGATTGTCTCGAACTGCGGTTCAACTATCTCCTCTCGAACTGCGGTTCAACTATCTCCTCTCTAAATTCAACATCGTCGTCGTTGAATGTGACTATATTTATATTAATTTTCCCCGCTCGCATGGAAAAAAAATCCGTCCCGAATCTGTCATCCAGGTTTGGCTGGCCCTGGGCCTCGCTTGTTTCACCGAAACTGTCGACACAATTCTGCGTCCCGCTATTACCTATTCTGCGCCCACACATTCTGTATACAGGGTGAGTCAGTATAACCTTTTACCATTGAAAATACAAGTTCGGAATAAAATTCTAAGATGAATTTTCCTCTTGTAAAACTTTGGTAAAAGCTTATTTTTCTAGATATAAATAAAAATTGTTACCCTATCACACGTCGAATACAGGAGGCAGGCAGGGGCGGCGCAACTCACAGTCAGGCGCGGGCTCTTTCGGGTGGGGTGGCCGTTGCACGTTGCGATCAGCTTCTCTCCGGTTCACTCACTCACTCACTTACACTTGGAACACACACGTTTATCACTATTATTAATCGCTATCGATTAATCATTCGGCGACTAATAATCCTTGAAAGACAACCAAACACGTGTTTCTTCCAAGGATTGTCAGTCGCGACACAACAAGCACTCACTTCACGACAAGAAACTAACCACATTTAATTTGTATGTACGCACAGCAAAGGTGATTCGTAAACTGAACGCACGAAAGCGTTTCAGATTTGCACCGCCGAAAAATTCATCTTAGAATTTTATTCCGAACTTGTATTTTCAATGGTAAAAGGTTATACTGACTCACCCTGTATGTGCCCGCGCTGGCCACATTCGCTACAAAACTTATTTCTTAACGTACATTGTGCCTTCAGGTGGTTCGCCTTTCCACAACAATAACAGCGCTTGTCCTGCGTTGTTGTCGACGTGTTCTTCTCGGGGCCGCTTGCTGCTGGGTGGGCGGGTTTACCTCTTCCTCGGGCATTTCGTCTCCAAGCCCCTCGTCTCTCCTCTGGTCGGAACGCGTGGACCTCGGCCTCGTGTTGTTGTTGTTCTGCCTTCGATACAAATGGGCCGGGCCGCCGAACTGTGCTCGTGCCGTCTTGGTTGAACACGCTTGCTGCTTCCACGGTTTTTGCTAAGCTTACGAGGTCTTTCAATGATGATGCCGAGGATTTGAGTAGCTCGTACCGAATGAGATCGTTGGATACCCCCGATATCAGTTGATCCTTTACCCGGCTGTCCGTTTCGGTCGTTGTAAATTTACACAGCTTTGCCTGTGCTTGCAATGCCATGACGAAGTCTTGGATGAACTTTCGCCTTCCTGTTGCTTACGTTCCCTGAACGTATATCTTTGCAGATGTTCGCCCTGCTGTGGTTCGCACAGCTCTTTCAATTTCCCTTTGAGTTCCGCATATGTCCTTGACAACGGTTTGTGTGGCTCACATGCCGTGCGTAGTTCCTCAAACACCTCGGGCGACAATCGTGTAAGGAGTAGTGGTGTTTGCTTCGCCTCGCTTACATCGCTTAGGATGATGAACGCGTCCAATTGCTCTTCGAAGGTTTCCCAATTCGCTCCTTTCTTAAAGATTTCGATCGGTGTGAATATTGACGTCATGCTCGCGACTTGGCTATGCTCGCTCGTCGTCGCTGCTAATTCCGTTGTTGTCTCCCTCGTATCTTGTGTTTTTTATTAAGAATACTCTTAAAAGTCGCCAGCAGTAAGTAACAACATCAATGATTTTTATTGACCGTATCTGGCAATTAAAATTCTTATTGCGAAAAATATTACCCAAACCAGGATTCGAACCTGGGACCTCCCTCAATCCGTGCGGGCGTCTTAACCAGCTCGACCACTGGGGATGTAGGCAATATTGTTCGCAATAACATATATTAGTTAAGATGTTGTTTACGCGTCTATTTCGACTTTTCGGAACAGTGCGATACGGGTTGTCGACCATACACTGAACTGTCGAAACGCGATTTTTTTAAATTCCCTTTCCCCTGCCCTCACACCTATCCCTTTTCCCCCTATTACGGAGGAACACCATGTGTTGAGATCAATGGTGTATAATAAACTATTAAGAATACTCTTAAAAGTCGCCAGCAGTAATTAACAACATCAATGATTTTTATTGACCGTATCTGGCAATTAAAATTCTTCTTGCGAAAAATATTACCCCAACCAGGATTCGAACCTGGGACCTCCCTCAATCCGTGCGGGCGTCTTAACCAGCTCGATCACTGGGGCTGTAGGTCAATAAAAATCATTGATGTTGTTAATTACTGCTGGTGACTTTTAAGAGTATTCTTAATAAAAAATTTATTATTTAAACTTTTTGTAACAAAAAACATGATTTATGTGTTTAAACAATTTTTTATAATAATAAAAAAATGATTTATGATTGTTAAACAATTTTTTATAATAATAAAAACATGATTTATTACTGTTAAACAATTTTTTCTATAAAAAATGATTTATTATTATTTAAACAATTTTTTAACAATAGAAAAAATGATTTATGATTATTTAAACAATTTTTTCGCATAAAAAATGATTTATGATTATTTAAACAATTTTTTACATAAAAAAAGATTTATGATTGTTTAAACAATTTTTTTTACATAAAAAATTTGTTTAAACAAATGGTCCAGAACCGGCCTAGTATACCTACTCATCATTGAAGGGGGGTTCACGATGATGAGCTCCTTCATCAGGCGTGATTAAGATTATCTTAAACCGCCCTGATCAATCTGAGTGAACTTTAACTTTCCAATAAACTCCGGTCCGTTTCGCATCTTCCTTTGTCTCCGCAATTCAAACCTGCCGTCTCATCGATCGGCATAAACAAGACCTCTCTTCACTGACTTTGACTCGGGCAATCGTGTGTCGTTTCATACACAAAGGACAGCGGTGGTTCGGACTTTCTTCAACCGGATAATTTTGAACAATTTAGAAACTGTCCGCGCCACGATAAGTGAATCCCGGGCCCGGTTTTCCACATACAATTCGTCGGTCTCGCTGCATCCTACGTCCGTGTGCGCGTATCGGAGCGGTCTGAACTGTCTCGTCTCACTTCGCCTCTCTGTCGAGGCGGAATCCGGGATTTTCGGTTTCGGCCTGAGGTCGGCCTCAGTGTTACAGAGACAATCTCGGAGATGAGACGCCTATAAAGGAAGGGATCGAAGGGTTCCTCATCCAAGATATCAACATTTTCCCAGTCAAATTCGTGACACGAGCATCTGTGTTCAGTAATGACAGATAATTGATTTGTATTTCTGTTGATGTGTTTGCGGTGTTCATTAATTCTCGTTGTCAAGAGTTTTCCAGTCTGACCCACGTATGAAGCGTTGCAATTTTTACAAGAAATTTTGTAGACTATGTTATTATGTGAGAGCTTTGGGAGTGGGTCTTTGTGTACTTTAATAAAGTCTCTCAGTTTGTGGATACCCGTATAAGATAGCTTCGTGGTCTTGCACAACGTGTGTGAACCTTTCAGA